CAATGCTATATAAAATCCTTCCTGATCACTAACGTTTTATCAGTTTTGTTCCAACCCTTCTTCTGTGGCAATGATGATGAGATGGGGTATAAAAAGCTTCGGAGGTTCTCTCATCTTCGAATATTTTGACTCCCTAGTCAAAATGTTACCCTTATTTGCAAACTACATATTAAATAGACTTCAATCAATTTCTATGATTGGCATAATATAATTTTTGTTTTAACAAAATTTAGTTTTATTACCATCTTCCCAGAGCATGCCTGGTAGAGAGAGATTTTACTTCATTCCAATATCAGCACTTCTGTTAATAAGCACAGAAATCCAAAAGCTACCATGTTGAAAAAGAGAAGAATCTACATTATTTCATTAGCTCATTAATCATTCCATTGGAGAGTATCCTAAACTGTGAAAAATTCCCATTAAAATTTTTGAACATTAGATATAACGTTACTGAAGTAAAATAAAGGCTGTACATATATAGTCTGCTGAGTATTAAAAAATAATTTATTTTCATTAAAAATTATACTAAAAAAAAAAAAATCTACCCTAAACTCTAAAATTATTTTTTTGAATTAAGTGAAATGCCACATCTTACCAAACATGACAACCACAGTAGAATTTATGTAAAAATGAAAAAGAGATATTTTGCCACATCATATATTTGGGCAACACAGAAATTCACAGGTGGTAGTTTACTGACAAGAAGGAGCTTGCATTTTTACATTTTTGTTACAGAACTTGAAAAACTTAAAATATGAAATTTAAAAAATGGTTGTTGGTATTATAATCTGATGACAGGCAAAATTTTTAGATAACCAGATTTCAGTTGGAATATTTTTTTCAACCACTACATATCAGTATGTCAGAAGACTGGAAAGGTAATTGAGACTTTCAGAAATTTCGTACCTATATTATAATTACGTTTTGTTTGTTTTTTTTAGATAGCTGAATAAAGACGTAGCAGCCTATGAGAAAATTCCTTTTAGGTACTGGTGACATTAGCTAATGTGAAGTTGACTAAAATTATTATGCATGCTCTGCATCTAAACTTAGCTACATAAAAGTGAAATGGTATTTCAGTCATTTTCTTATCAGAAAAGAGGCTTGTATAAACCAATAATTTTCTATGTATTTACAGAACAGGAAAAACCCTATTTTAAAAATTACCCCAACGGCCATTCTATTATCATTTAAAACTTGCCTAAGAAAAGT